CTTTGAACTGCGTCCTCTAGGGATCGCTATGGGGAACGCCTCGTTGTGACCCGTGTCTGAAGCATACATTGAAAAAACACCAACTCGTTGCCCGGCGACAGCCATGACGTCCCTACTGGTGCGACTATAGAATAAATAGGCGCCGGGAGCACACATCATTCTCTTCTTCGTCTTCATTGACTGTTTTGTTTGAAGCGTGCATTTCTGTGGTAAGAGCGATCTCTATTCAAGGACTGAAGGACGCAACAGACCTGGAACAAACAGACCAGCAGGGCATCCTCTCGGGACCTCCGCCATTTGCAAGGCCTCCCTGACCCCCCCAAAATACCCCAGGAAACAGCAGCCACCACGACACCCTGGGGTAAAATGGTGTCGGGCGGCGCCCCGCTCCCCGGACTGGCAAAGAGACAAGACAGAGCGTCCGGCTTGATATTCTTGGATCCAGGCCTGTACGAGAGTGTGAAATGGAACCGATCAAAGAAGAGGGCCCACCTGGCCTGCCGCGAGTTCAACCTCTTGGCTGAACGGATGTATTCAAGGTTCTTATGATCTGTCCATACCAAGAAGGGCTCCACTGCCCCCTCCAGCCAGTGTCACCACTCACCCAGTGCCAGCCTAAGTAGTTAAGCAGCTCATGGTTCCCGACATCGTAGTTCCGTTCTGCAGGGCTCAGGCGGTGTGAGAAGTATGCGCATGGATGCACCTTCCCATCAAGGGGGAAAAAAAAAAATTTGCTGAGAGAGGACCACCCCAACTCCAACCTCAGAAGCGTCAACCTCCACAATAAACTGCAGATCAGGGTCTGGAACAGACAAGACAGGTGCAGACGTGAAACATGATTTAAGTCTCGTAAAAGCTCCCTGTGCCTGCTCCGTCCACCTGAAAGGAACACAAGTGGAGGTTAGAGCAGTTAAAGGAGCAGCAGTTTGACTATAATTCTGGATGAAACACCTATAAAAATTGGCGAATCCCAGAAACTGCTGCAATGCTCTACTAGAGTCGGGGACTGGCCACTCTGAGACGGCCCTTACCTTGGCAGGATCTACCTTAACCCCCTCCGCCGAGATTATCTGTCCTAGGAATGGAACGGAGTCTGCGTGGAATATGCACTTCTCCGCCTTAACATACAGCTGGTTCTCAAGTAACCTCTGCAGCACCTGATGGACATGCTGAGTGTGTACCTGCAATGACGAAAAAAAAAATAGAAATGTCATCAAGGTACACAAAGACAAATTGATTGATCATGTCTCTAATCACATCGTTAATCAGGGCCTGGAAGACAGCTGGGGCATTAGTAAGCTCAAAGGGCATCACCCGATATTCAAAGTGCCCAGTAGGGGTGTTAAAGCTTTCTAACACTCATCCCCTTCCCTTATCCAAACCAAGTGGTAGGCATTGCGGAGGTCCAACTTTGTGAAGATTCGCACTCCCTGTAGCAGCTCGGGAGCCGCGGACATCAATGGAAGGGGGTACCGATTATTTACAGTGATGTCATTCAGCCCACGATAATCGATGCAGGGGCACAAGGAACCATCTTTCTTCTCCACAAAGAAAAACCCCGCGCCTGCAGGAGAAGAGGAGGAATGGATGAGGCCAGCTGCCAATGACTCCTGGATATACTTATCCATAGTCTCTCTCTATGGCGCAGAGAGAGAGTAAAGGTGATCACGAGGCAGAGAAGTGCCTGGGAGAAGGTCGATGGCACAGTCGTAGGGTCTGTGAGGAGGGAGAGATGCCGCCTGAGATTTGCTAAAGACCCTCTGAAGATCAATGTACTCAGCAGGAACACCGGTCAGATCCGCAGTCTGCTCCTCCTGAAACATAGAACAAGAAAAACCGGCAGACGAGGCAACACCCAGGCAAAATTTATGACAAAATTAGCTCCATGCCAACACAGAATTCTCAGCCCAACCAATGTGAGGGCTGTGTCTCACCAGCCATGGATTCCCCAGCACAATAGGTGTGCTGGGAGACTTGAGGTGGTAAAACACAATCTCCTCACAATGGTTGCCGGAAACAGTTAAACTGACAGGGGAAGTGACATGAGTAACTTGGGTGAGGATAGTGCCGTTGAGAGCCCTGGCAATGAGTTTCTTCTTGAGAGGGGTGATAGGAATGCCCCACCGAGCTACCAGGGTAGCATCAATGAAATTACCCTCAGCCCCAGAATCCACCAGGGCTGAGCATGACCTTGAAAAAGGTCCCCACTTGACAATGGCAGGCAGCTGGGGACGAAATACAGGGGAATCAGATACAGGGGTGACGCTCACCAATACTGGTTGTATTTAAGTTTGCCTCTCCCGTTTGGTAAGTGTGCACGTTATGCTTTGCCCACTTTTCTAAAATCCTGTATGGTAGGGGTTACGCGTTTTTGACCTCGTTCCCTTTCTCTGAGTTGGTTAGACCCCGGTTACTTGGGCTCCACTTAACTAGTGTGTCTCTATCGACACACTCTGGAAGCATCGCTCCCCTCACCAGTGAGGGTTATTATGAGTATGGTGCTTTCTTTCGAGCGTTAATCCTCTCTGAGGAGTTGGATGCCTCGCTCCATGGGCTGTCCTTGTGGTAGTTTGAGCAGTGCTCCCCTTTTTTCAAAGGGTTACCTGGAATGAGCAACGTTATCCTCTGAATTCTGAATTCTCCTCTCACCCTTCCTCTGCTTCCCTGAGGCGCTGAGTGTTTGGCTAGCTTGCAGTATGCTTACCCTTCTGATTTTACAATCATGCTGCAGGTCGAGCCCCCTCTCGGGAGAGCTGGGTTTGTGCTCCAGATTTTCCACAGTAGAAGCAAAGTCATTGGTTGAGGCATCGCTGCGTCTCCTCTGCTGCCAGACGGGTACGCCCCACCTGCATGGGCTCCACTTCCAGAAATGTCTCAGGGCGAATAATAGCGGCTTCAGAAACAGAACGAGGAGGGATTGGCCAAGAAGAGTGAGCCATGACCTGTTGATGGCATAGAATGATACGCGTCTCGATACGAAGTGCCAGATCCACCAGGTCTTCAAATGAAGCCGGAAGGTCATGGATTGCAATCTCGTCCTGAATCTCAGGATTGAGCCCCTCTCTAAAAACATCCCATAAAGCTGCTTCATTCCATTCTCCTCTCACCCTTCCTCTGCTTCCCTGAGGCGCTGAGTGTTTGGCTAGCTTGCAGTATGCTTACCCTTCTGATTTTACAATCATGCTGCAGGTCGAGCCCCCTCTCGTGAGCAATGCTATCCTGTTTCTGGCACAAGCTGGTTAAGTTATTCTCTCACGTGCACCAGAGCAGTGTAACCATGCTGAACCGACATGAAGGAGACCACAAATCTACTACTACTACTACTACTACTACTACTATTGCTATTAAATAATAATAATAATAATAAATAAATAAACCACTTGTATCAGATTTAGATTTATTCAGGTATATTCATAATGCATAAAACTGCACTAATGGGTGACTGTCAGAATAATACGTTCAGGTCATACACTATATGGACAAAAAGTGTTAGAACATTATGAATTCAGGTGTTTGGACCCATTGCCACAGGTGTACAAAATCAAGCACCTAGCCATGCAGTCTGCATTTACAAACATTTGTGAAGAAATGAGTCATTCTGAAGAGCTCAGAGAATTCAGCCATAGTGCTGTGATAGGATGCCACCTTTGCAATTAGCCAGTTTGTGAAATTTTATTCCTGATAGATATTCTACAGTCAACTGTAAGGGGTATTATTGGAAAGTGGAAGTGTTTAGAAACAGCAGCAGTTCACCGTGTGCTGAGGCGCATGCTGTGTAAAAGTCGCCAACACTATGCTGATTACATAACTGAAGAGTTTCAAACTTACACTGGCATTAATATCAGCACAAAAATTGTGCAGCGGTAACTTCAAATAATGAAGCTGAGAAGCTGCAGCCTCAATACCAAATGTCAGATAGAGTGGTGTAAAGCACGCCGCCACTGGACTCTGGAGCAGTGGAAACCTGTTCTGTGGAGTAATGAATTACGCTTCTCTGTTTGGCAGTCTGAACGTTATAACTTTGCATTGTGATGCTAACTGTAAAGTTTGATGGATGAGAGATAACGGTATGGGGCTGTTTTTTAGGAGTTGGTCTAGGCTTCTCACCTCCAGTGAATGGAAATGTTAATGCTTCAGCATACCAAGACATTTTGGAAAATGTTATGCTTCCAACTGCTTCCCCAGTTTACAAAGGAAGGTCCATAAAAACATGGTTGGATGAGTATGGAGTGGAATAACTTGACTGGCCCACACAGAGCCTTGACCTCAACCCCATCAAAGACCTTTGGGATGAACTGGAACGACGATTGTGAGTCAATCCTTCTCATCCAACATCAGTGTCTGCCCTCACAAATGCTCTACTGGATGAATGAGCACAAATACCCTCAGAAATACTCCAAAACTGTGTGGAAAGCCTTCCCAGAAGAGTGGAAGCATTATAGCTACAAAGGGGGACCAACTCCATATTAATGTCTGTGTCTGTGTCTGTGTCAGGGGTGGGCAACGTCGGTCCTCTAGAGCTACAGTCGTGCAGAGTTTGGCCTCAACCTTGATAAAAACTCACCTGCCTGTAGCTTTCTGGTAACCCTTAGATCTTGATTAGGTTGTTAAATTGTGTTTAATTAGGGTTAGAACAAAACTCTGCAGGACTGTGGCTCTCCAGGACTATTGTTGGCCACCCCTGGTCTATGTAACAAAATACATAAATAAATAATAATAAAAATAAATAAATAATTAAAACAGTTAAAATTAAAATTTCACAAGTTTTACGTTTTTTTTACTTTTGCGTTTGTAAAGGTTATTTATGTAAATAAACTCCTACATTAGACTTTCATTAGACTATATTAAACTTAATATTTTTGGATTTTTATCCATATATTTGATAAGATTCGCCCGGATATCCTTTATGGAGACAGCGGCATAACAGCTGCTGTCTGACGAATCCGGAGCGGTTTCATCAGCAGTCTCCAGTGTCGGCATTGGTCCTCCTTCATCCCGAGTCCAAACGAGCAGCAGCAGAGGCACAGACATGTTTGTCTAGAGCTCCAACAGCTTATTTATCGTCCTGTTATGTCGGGTTTAGGATGATATGGGTTCGGCGGAAGACGTGACAGCTGTCCGCGGGCATCATGAGGATTTTAACAGCGTCTGGGCTCTTCCTGGCCTTCTGCTCCATCGGGCTCTTGACCATGGCCATCAGCACGGACTACTGGTACGAAACAGATGCGCGGAAACACCGGGACCGATGCAAAAAATACGCCAGCAAGAGAAACGACCCAGGATACATATACATCTCCAATCAAAACCTTCCACTCCGGATGCGACCGAAAGCCGCTGGTGCGAGTCAGCCGGAGCTCGCAGCTCCTCTGCGGGATTCCCCGCGCCCTGAGCCCGTCATGGAATCACGCTGCAGCCGCCGCTACAACTCAACCACAACCGGACTGTGGAGGAAATGCCACCGAGAAGGGTTCGATCTGGAGAACGAGGATCTGATTTTTAAAGGTGATGATGCTGAATGGGCCCCATCTGAGCAGTAACCAAATTCCAAGTTGATGTTGAACAGCTGTAGTGTGTTTATGTGTTTGTTGGACATGTGTGAAGGAGTGTTGAAGAATGTTAATTGGCGCTATCCAAGGTGCTGATCCCTAACATCAACACCAACCACAAGCTCACGTTCACACTTTCATCACTTTTCAGCTCAAATACAGAAACAGATGGAGTCTGTCAGGGCAATGGTATCCATTTAGGGTCTAAGAGACCCCGAGGCCCTTTTATTAAGGGAAAACACAACCCTCTCTGGTACAGACAGTATATTATATTTGTTTCTTTTTCATGTTACTTTTGATTACTCTAATAACAAAAGCAGAAATAATTTTTAAAATGATCAAAAATTATACGTTTTCTTTGATGCACTGATGCATGTACGTCTTTTATGTGATAAATTATACAGTCTTTCAGGGCAATGAGATGCAGCTTTTGGGTCTTAGCCAAAGATAAATAAACTTGCTTAAAATTCAGTAGATTTTTACTCCTGTTCTAACGTTTGGGGTCCGAGAGAAAATTTATGACTATGTTTTATAAAAATAATCAGCTTGATGTCTAAGCACTTTCCACACATACATTACCGAAATAAAACATAAATCCAATCAAATTTCTGACTGATGTAGTACTCTCCTGTGTACATACAGCAAAATTTTATATAGATTGTACAAATTATATTTTTGCACTATAAAGAAACTTTGTGCAATGGAAAGCTTCCATAAAAGTTAAAGGTTCTTTATGGACCCATAGATGCCAATAAAGAACCTTATTTCTAAGTGTTGGACAACAATCACTCTTCTCAAAAATACACGCTTATAAAATATACACTACTTTTTGGTACAGCAAGGTGACAATGAAAATGTGAAGTTATGATTCAGTTATAATATTTTTTACATGTAAGCTACTGGGTTCTCTGGGAAGGAAAGTGAAGTCAATCTCAGCAGAGAGATTGAGAATTGATTGATTGACTTGGTTGATTGCTTTTGTTTATGGTCCAGTTAGAACATTTGATGATCATAATTAAGATTCAGATTCATTGCGACCAAAGTTAAGGGCCTGAACATGTGTTTAGATGTTTCTGTGAAATGTGTCTAAATTGCTGCTTGTTTCTTCTCCACACAGACTATCAAACACACGTGTATCATCTGATCTTCACAATTATGACTGAAGTTATCAGACTGTTTCTGTGAATTTTCTCAGGTTTGCTTCAGCGTTGTACGCCGGTGAGATATTACTATTTCTCAGCGAATATCCCACGGAATCTGCCAGTGAACATCACCAAAACTATAAGACAAGACGAATGGCATGCTCTCCGTAAGTCAGATCAGTGCATGTTATATTTACTGCGAGTGGATGTGTGTGTGTGTGTGTCTGGTCACTAAACGTTTGTAGGTTTCACTCTCAGCATTGATCTATGAACCATCATAATTGTGCATTTGATCCCACTTAATCTCTGAACACGTATTAAGTGTATCATAGGCTACTTTGTATTAAAGCACACACATTTATTTATTAATACATTTGCAGGCCGACATGGAATCTGCACAGAATTGGAAAACTTATTGTACCTACAGCTCTTAACATTACTTTTGATGATTGTTTATTAAATAATTTATTTAATTTGTTGCTTTCAGCTATCAATAACAGTGTACTCTCTGCTTCATTTAACACGTTTTACCATGTTTAAATCCATCTCTCAATATCAGTGCAGAAAATTAGTCAGAATTGTCTCTCTAAATTAGCACCTGGTTTTGACTTTGATGGCCATTTATCAAGCCTTCCAGAACACATATGATATTACAATCTTGAAATGCATCCAAAAACACTGAACGCTTCTTATTTAACAAACGTATTAGCTATAATGAGACTGCAAAACCTAAACTGAAAGCGTTTTATTGAATTAACGATTTAACTACATTTAAAAAAAAAAAAAAAATCAAACAATTGACTGACATAATATGTGACAGATTATATTATGACATAACAAAGTCTAAGATGCAGAGCAATGAGGAAAAGTTAAATAAAAATACATATATTAATTTTATAGCGCAAGAGACAATACCTGAATTGACGTAAATCTAAAACAACAAATATGATTTATTCAAGCAATGATGGATAAATATCACAATGAATACACTAAACTAGTTATTGCAGAGGAAGTTGGTTTTATGCACTAGACATTACTGCACATTATTTCAGTTTATTGAATGTCTGAGTTGTATTTTTGCATTGTAACACAAACTAGATTCAAACTTTCATGTTGGTTTTAGAAAGCCTGGCCAGAAAGTTTAAATTAGCTTCAAAAGCTGGAAGATGTTAAATAGTTTTAAGTTTTAAGTGAAGTTTTAAAGCCATGAATTCAAGCCAAGTCACATTTAGTTATAGTGATTTATACAATGCAGATTATCTCAAAGCATCTTAACAGTAATAAACAAATGTTCAGCATTAAGACATCAAGTGTTTGGAACCATTGAGTGAATATTTAGAATATTTGTTCCCACTTAATATTAGGTGTCTTTAACTAATATGTACTTACACCAAAAAAAGATTGTTATACACAGTGTACCTATTGTGTTCATGTTGAATTGCAAAACTGTGGAATACAGTTAGCGACGTGTTTGGCGGGATGGTTTGGAGTAAGTGTAGGGTCAACAGTGTAATTATAGCTATACATATTTCAACATATATCAATATGCATGTGTGTGTGTATATATACATATGTATATAATATTGTAAAAACATGTATGTACATAATAAGTTGTAGTATAGTATGTATCTATTGATTAATTTCAATGTTAGTACATAGTAAAGTGGCTCCGAATATTTTTTTAAAATATAACTTTTTACGGAAATAATACACTTTAAAAGAATATGCTTATAGGTGTGACTATACTGAATGTTTAGGACCCTTAATTGCATGTTAATGAAAATGTATTAAATTAAATTTATACGAAATTCAGTTTAACTTAACACTGCTTTCTTGAGCCACTTAAGTAGGTTTAAGTGCATCTTATAATTTAATTTTTAAAAATATCATATAATTTCATAATTAATTCTGTTGTCTATGAAATATGGGTAAAAGTCTACTACGAAATGCAAAAACATATACTATTAAAACATACTTTAATGTAATTTCTATTGAAAAAAGTGTGGTATGTATTTAAATATATTTGTAATTATAAATTTGTGATGATGAAGTTTCAGTTTAGTGAATATACTAATGTTAAATGTGATATTGACTAACACACTACAGTTATTATTCACGTTTACGTTACATGCTTCACATATGCTTTAGTATGTTAGTGTCAAAATAAATTAACTTTTTTTAAAACACAAAAAAAGATTGATTTAAAATGTACTTTAAAAATAAAAATTTGCCATTATTACAAAGTGCACTTTTTAAAAGTCGACTTAAGTGTGTTAAGAAACAGACTGTTTTTTCATTAATATTATCTGAAAGTAATTATTTTTTTTAAGATTTGAAGTACACTACAGGTGCACATTCATTGCAATAAAGTGCAGAAGCGATCCTTCAGCGCTCTGTTTTCTCCTGCAGATTTGCAGCGGATGACGGCAGGTTTCATCGGTATGGCTGTGGCCATCATTCTGTTTGGCTGGATCGTTGGTGTGCTGGGCTGCTGGAAACACAATGAGCTGATGCAGTATGTAGCTGGACTGCTCTTCCTGATGGGAGGTGAGACAAGCGACCACTAGATGGCAGCTTATTACTGAGACAAGAAAAAATAAAATATTTGGAACTGCATATTGCATATTATTTTATAGCATATTGCCTTGAAAAAGTTTGTAATGCATACTACTCTTACTAGAAGTGTAGTACTGTACACAGTATGCAGTGTTACTGTATGTACAGAATACACGTGGGGAATACTGTATCCCACAATGCTTGACCTTCCATTTTCTTCTTCTTTGAGTTCTTGCTGTCAAGTCAAGTCAAGTCAAGTCACCTTTATTTATATAGCGCTTTTAACAATACAGATTGTGACAAAGCAACTGAACAGCATTAATTAGGAAAATAGTGTCAATAATGCAAAACAGTGTTGTGTTGTTATAAACTCACTGTATTGTTTTGTTTGTGACTGTGTTTCACAGGCACCTGCTGCATCATTTCCTTGTGCACATGTGTGGCAGGCATTAACTTCGAGCTCTCGCGGTACCCACGCTACCTGTACGGCCTGCCGGAGGACATCAGTCACGGGTACGGCTGGTCCATGTTCAGTGCGTGGGGCGGTCTGGGTCTGACGCTGCTGGCTGGGTTTCTGTGCACTCTGGCGCCCTCTCTGCACGGTCCCCAGATCAGCAACAGCAGCGCACACAAACCGCGACAGGAGAACGGCATAGTGTGACGCTCACACACTCCACACACCATATGCAAAGATCCGCTAACACAGACAGGTCAAGCTGATATAGACAAGTGTCTTTACATGTCATAGAGAAATGGCAAATAAACAGTCACACACACTGCAGACACTGTGCAGATACACTGCTATAATAAGATGGTGAAAATAAATTATGATCCAGAGTGCAGCTGAGCTAAACATACTGGAGCGGAAGGAAAACATGCACTGCAAAACATTGTCAATCAGTATGACGGTCTTATTTTCCAGAAAAAAAAAGATCTATATCTTATATCCCTTGCGAAAAAGAAGTGCACTGAATTGTATTGAATGTGCACTTGTAGTGTGCTTCAAATCTTCAAAGTATATATTTTTAAAACAGTTGTACTTGCGTATAATATGAAATTAATGAAATAAAAAGCCACTTAAGTGTATTTTTTTACACTTAAGTACTAAAACGTGCACTGTGTAAAAATGTCACGATAAAGGGTTGACTTTAAAATGTTTAGTTATGTTTTATTAATCTTTTGTCATGCTTGAAAGAAGTGCACTCTTATTTTGATGTGCTGACTTACATAGTAAAGTAAACATAATAACATACTATCATTTTAACTGTAGTGTGTTATTTATTACATTGTTATATTTAGTGCTGTCAAATGATTAATCGAGATTAATTGCATCCAAAATAAAAGTTTTTGTTTACATAATATATGTTTGTATACTGTGTATATTTATTATGTATATATAAATACAAACACATGCATGTATATAGTCATGAAAAATATGTTATGTTTATATGTTAAATATATTTATATATAATATAAAATATAAGAATATAAATATATGCATGTAAATACATGGAAATATTTTCTAAATATTTACTGTATGTGTATGCATTGATATATACATAATGAATAAACACAGTACACACAGATATATTATGTAAACAAAAACTTTTATTTTGGATGCGATTAATCACGATTAATCAATTGACAGCACTAATATTACATTTAAAATAAATAAAATTAACATTTAAAGTAAATAAATAAATGCACTAAATTGCAATTTCATCATTATATATTTACAACTATAAATATATATTTAAATACATGAAGTACAAGTTTCAATAGAAAGGACATTAAAGTATATTTTCGTTTATCATAAATGCTTGTTAGTGCATTCAGCAGTAACACTTTAACCATATTTCAAATATAAAATATAAAAGAATATAATTATGAAATTACACAAAGATATACTTAAGACCTACTGAAGTGGGTCAAACCAACTGCATTCAATAAAAAAAAAAAACTATAATACATTTTCTTTTAAAGGGTTCATATGATGCGACTTCAAGTTTTCCTTTCTTTTTGAAGTGTTACAAGCTGTTCGTGAATAGATAAGATCCCTAAAGTTGCAAAGACTAAAGTCTCAAACCCAAAGAGATATTCTTTATAAAAGTTAAGAGTCAACCACACCTACCTAAAATGCCTCGTTCTAACACGCCCCCACATGTCTACATCACTGTGTGGGAAGATTTGCATAACGCCACCCAAATGTTCACGCAAAGAAAGAAGGTGTAACTTTTATTGTTGCTGTAGTATTGTTGTTGCCGCCGCCCTGTCGTGAAGACGCTGTGTGTTTCGTTGTGAAAGCGAAACTACTTTGTTTGGTCTTCCAAAAGAGGACACAACTAGAAATCAGTGGTTAAGTTGTATTTACAACACTGTTCCAGAACAGTTCAACCCAAATATTCAGATGTGTGCAGCACATTTTATGGAGGACTGTTTCCTGATCCTGGGAGAGTAGACTACAATGCCGTACAACGGGCACGCAGTCTCAGGGGTTTGGATGGGCCCGCAGCTGCAGTGGCACATCAATTGCCTAGAGTTGTTGGCAGTGCGCCTTGCCTTGAACTGTCTCAAAGGGCACTTACGAGGCAAGCACGTACTGGTCCGAATGGACAACACAGCGACCGTTGCATACATCAACCGACAAGGTGGTCTGCGCTCCCGTCACATGTCGCAACTCGCCCGCCACCTCCTCCTTTGGAGTCGGAAGGTTCTGAGGTCACTTCGTGCTGTTCACATTCCGGGCCTGCTCAACCGTACAGCCGACGAGCTGTCTCGAGCAATGCTCCCGGGAGAATGGCGACTCCATCCCCAGACGGTCCAGCTGAATTGGAGACGTTTCAGAGCTGCTCAGTTAGACCTGTTTGCTTCTCCAGAAACCTCTCACTGCCAGTTGTTCT